TTGTATGCTTTCTTTTTGTTTTTTGTTTTGTTTTTTTGTTTTTGTTTTTTTTGATTGGTGGAAGTGGAATTAATGCCATTTCCTGCAAAATGAAAGAACAAATGCATATAAAAAATAGAGACTGAATCCTGCTTTTGGAGTGCTTTTTTGATAACCAGACCATTTTTTGAGTCCAAAGGGTTTCTTTTCTCTGATTGCTAACCTTACAGGAACCAAAAACCAAAAAAAACAAAAGAATATTTATATTTAAATACATAGTAGTTTAAACCCCATTAAGTTCTCTTTCATTTAATATGTAAAGCCCATTAATGCTCATTTTCAAGTGACACAACAAAAATAAAATCAATTCACCTGAATTCAACTGAACTGCACAATTAGGAATTTTACAATGAACCTAACAGTTAGAGGAAATAGGCTTTCAAATATATAGTATATAATGATTTACCTCTTATCTATAGCAAATAGTAAAAGACCACAGTGAAATCAATTCTATAATAGCATTCAGTGCAATAAGTCTCCAAATATACACACTGAAGCATTTAGATGAGCTTTTCTTAAGGAAATTAAATCATCTTGGATGTGAAAGAATTGGCATGAAATCAGGAAGCTGTTGCATTGCCACAGAGTTCAGTAGCTCGCAAGAACATGAAGGGCAGAAATATACAAGGATCATGTGGTCAAAAAAAAAGAAGTGAAAGACAACATGTTGAGAAACTGGTTCTTAGTCTGTAAATAGATGCTCGCTCTTGTCCACAATTCATGGATAATAATAAACACAACATATTAGAATGTAATTTGGTTTTATTTAACATAAGTCTTGATTGCAAGTTTTAGCACTTTTGGTCATTAAAAGATAAGACTAAGGGGAAGCACTGTGCAAAATTGTCCACCTATGTAAATTGACATGAGCATCCTTTATAATGCTTGTGTAATTAATTCCCCTTTCCTGCAAGTTGCTAAATTAACTGTTGGAATATGTGTCACACTGATAAACGTTTAGAAGGAGAAGGTAAAAGGTTCACAAACCTAGACCAAAGTTCATTTTTCAGTTAAAGTTTTTTTTTTTTTTTTTTTTTTTTTTGCTGAAACAACCAAAAAAGGCTCAGAGTATAATAAGATTTTATATCAGTGTAACAAGTGACATCTGCATTAACTACATTTTTCTATAATTATATCCTAAACTAATGTTCCATAGGACTGGTTTTATCCCATTTGACAATTAAAACAGTTGCATGAGAATAATTGCAGAACTACCTAAGAGATGTATATAAATAAATAAAAAAAACAGTAGCTTTCTCGACCTCAGTAATTTCAAGTCCTAGGGCTGGTTCTCATTTCAAAATTTCAAGAATTCCTCCAATTTTGATTCTCAAACTATATGATTTTTTTTTTTTTTTTTACCTGAATTACATGACTGTTACCTCTCAGTTACCTGTTAGTAAAAAATCAGAACAAACTGATCAAAGTGATTAGGTAAGAAAGATTGTAAGCCCCCTTAAGCTCTCATTTGGGCATAGTACAGTAGAAGGGATCCAGCATAGGGAAGTTATTCTTGTCTACCATGACTCTTTTTATCTACTTTATTCATTGTGTACATTCTCAACCCTCCCATAAAATTCCTGTTTTAGCCAGCAAACTCATAAAAAGAAGCTATCAGGAGCTCTAAATTAGAAACGAAAGGGAGAAGGAGAAACATGTTGCCACAGTAAAAGTCAACTTTTCCAAGTGGCTAAAATATAGCAGAAAAATGTAGTATGCTAGCTTGACCTTCTGTGTGGAGGCGGATACATTTATAAAGTAAAACAGCAGGTTACTGCAGTGTTACTGTATGCTGTTTACTGATCAGTATTTACAATGTAATTGATAATGCCAAAAAAAAAATATGAAGAAAGTTGTTTATGGTTATTTTATTGACCAGGCCATTACCATGTTAACTAAATGTTGAATCATTAAATAGGTCACATTTAGAACTTAAGAGCAAAGCTGTTCATTCTTTTTACTAACGAACTAAATGTTTAAATGTACAAAACAGGGTGAAATGTTTTCTAAATATCTACAGGTTTCTTTAGTTTTGATGTAGATCTTTAAATGAGATGAATCCATTTAAGCTTACATGCACAACACAATGAGCTGAAATATCCATGGGATGTTCAGACTGAATACGTTCTGTTACAGATAACGTCTTTAAACTCTGTAATAGAGGACCAATGCTCTGAATACGGTTTTTGGAACATGATTGAAAATAGACTTTGTATTAGATAGATGCAACAGTTTTAACATTTTTGAATAATTCAAATTGTAACGATTGAAACAAACATTGTCTGCATTTAAAAACTCACCAAGCAAGTTATAAGTTGCTGTTTAATAATACCAAGAACTGTTATCTTTTGTGCTGTGTGGCCACAGGAAAAAGAAAGGAGAAATGAAAGTGTCATCCTGTCATGACCCAGAAACAAAATCCTGTTTAAATCACTCAGACAAACATCAACTGGCAGAATAACTTCTAAACTTGACATGTGGACATAGGACTGAGGAGTAAGAGCAAGAAATCACGCCTGTGCACATCATAGCTACCAGGTTGGTTGCAGCACTATTCATTCAGTTTGTAACAACAAATTTAAATTACAGAAATTTCTTATTAAGGAACTTATCTGGCAGTTCATTTAGGCACATTTACTCTTTAAAATACTAAAATGCTACAGGTGGCTGTGTTTATTTTAAATTTATTTATATAGTGGTAAATTGATGTGGTAAAAGTAAATAAGGTTGCTTTAAAAATGTAAAATAATGTCGGACCTGGATATCAATTTCTAAAGTATTTATTTAAATTCTAGGTGATTTACATTTCTTTGTTTCTTTTTTTTTAGCCACAAATATGGATGGAATTATAACACCCCCCCTGCTGCCCAAAAATCAGAGCCTTGCCAACAGCACCTGCTCTCGTGACAACTTTTTTAAGACGGTGGTTTTACCTGTTTTCTACTCTTGCCTTTTCCTGCTGGGACTCTCTCTGAATACGTTGGCAGCGTGGGTGTTTTTGCGCATACCATCTCGGTCTCACTTCATTATTTACCTGAAGAATATTGTTGTTGCAGATGTCATCATGACGCTGACATTCCCCTTCAAGGTTTGTTATATTAAAATACAGTAGCTGGTGTGGAAAAACAAATAGGTAGTATGTCTTCAATGTGTATTGGTATCTTTAATGGTTAAAGAAAAACAATAATTCATTTAAATTGACTTTTTTTTAAATAAAAGTATTTCACATTTTATTTTGTAACATATTTTACATTGATAAGAAAAAATGTGATTCTCAATCTTATCAAAAAGGTTAATTTAGTCCATAGAGTCAATTAAGAAGTGAAAATTAATAAAAGCTAAAGCAGAAGGAGGGCAGTGGTGGCCTAGTGGTACGGGCATAGGACTTTGAATCCTGAGATTGGGAGTTTGATCCCCCACTCCCCCGGACTGCCACTCTGGGTCCCTGAGCAAGACCCTTAACCCCTCACTGCTCCCCGGGCGCCGCACAATGGCAGCCCACTGCTCCCCAAGGGGATGGGTTAAATGCAGAGATAAATTTCTCCAATGTGAGATCAATAATGTTCAATTTAGAATAAACAATGATATATTTCACAGCCTTTCTTGTTTCTCAAATATAATCCTACAGTTATTACAGAGAAAATAAAATATTTCAAACTTTTATTACCATCCATTTTTTGTAATAATAGTATACAATGATTAAAACCTGAGATATGATCTGGTTGAACTATAAAGTGACTTGAGATGACTTGTGTTGTGAATTGGCGCTATATAAATAAACTGAATTGAGTTGAATAGATTTTGGTTCTTAACAGCCTCTCCAGTAGCATGAATGGCATAAATTCTTGAGAACCTTGTCATTCACAGAGTACGCAATTGTATGTAGAAATTTTAATGGAAGGTTGAATGGAAGGAAGAATTATGGTAAAAGAATGCATACGATCAAAGGAAATTTCCGCCATAAGGGAATCTTAAAGAAAAAATAAGCATTTACAAATTTTGTGGAAATTTTGTGGAAATTCAAAAGGTTGGAGTCGGTGCTGCAAGAACCACCCCCTGCAGATGTAATCGGGATATAAAGTACAGCTTTCTCATTCTTTGTTTTAATCCAATTAATAGCAGAAGCCTCTTGTTTGGGCTGGGGAAAATAAAAAGTTATTCCTTAATCCTAAACTCTCTTTTCAGATAAACATGAATCTGGCATTTCAATTCTAAATTAAGGTCTTGAGGAAGAGAAAAGAAACACAAAACACAGAGGACACTGATTTTGGGGATTTTATTAGCTGTTAACGTTAGTAATCAAAAATAACAGAGAGAAGCTTGAAATATATTAGTTGTCATGTAACAAGTTTATCATTTTTGTTTTTCGTAAATACATAAGGTGTATTTTTCAAATATTTGTAAACTGACAAAAAAATGCAACCGCATTTGGCATTTACTTAATCATATTTAGTTACTTTAACACAATTGTTTTATGTCCTACCCTGCTAACAGGAAACAATAGTTTTAAAGTAACTAAATATGACTGAGTAAATGCCAAAAATAGTTGCATTATTTTTTTCAATGATGCCTTGTGGTACATTCACACCAAAAACCAATGATGTTAACATAGTTATCCCCATGTAGAGGCACGTTCAGAAACAACATGATTTTCTCAGTATGGGAAGTGATCCTTTGAATCATGTTTTTGAGATGTGGAACACACCTTTGGCATCTCATTTGTAGCGATGTGAACAACACAATTAGTTCCCATTGCGAATTCAAGGCAAGCTTCTCTAGAATTCAAATATCGGAACTTTCCTGTGAACTGATGTCTGGTCAACCAGTCGGGGGCTGGATGCTGCTGTCATGTAGGGTGATGGAGTGCGCTGGCAAAAAACTTTTGTTAAGTCAAAATATAGAATAGAAAAAAATAATATTGAAATTCATTGCATATAGAAAGAAATGGGTGGCTTTTAAAAAAGCAGGTTTAATTAAGTCCTTCAAAGGACAACATTCATCATTCATCCTCCTTTTTTAGCTCCAGAATAGATGCCGGCTCATGGCCTCCGTCTAGCTCCCTGCTCCATCTTTATGGCTTTTTTGCTCTGCAGTCCTGCTGTTCCTGTTTAAGTTCCAGAGCGCCTCCTCGCCTTACCTCTGCGGTCCATGTAGTCAGTCCCAAAAGCAGGACAACAACTTTGAGTGCTGGTCATACAGAAGTTCTGCAGGAAGCATGATCTAGTCATAGCTCCTGGACTCCTCTGGAGAGTATGGTAGACCAAGAGACAATGGCACTGTTGTTCGGCTTCCCACATCAAATACAGAACTGTGAACTCAATGAAATTGGCAAACATAAAAAATGCTTTTATTTGAAGTGAGGTCAGCTTTGTCCCAGTTGGCCATGTGAATTGCTGGCTAAATGTAAAGCAAGCAACATACAAATGACTAGGAAAATGTTGCGTTCAGAATTAAAACACAGTGAAGATTTCCATTTTACATCTCCCATCAAGTACCAGTTGCCAGAAATGCACAGACAAGTTTCCAAACATATATTTAGTCAACAAAGAACCCTTTACAATTGCTCGTCAAGTAGCACATTCTGTAAACACTAAGGGTCTGATCCTAAAGCAATTCAAGTAGGGAGTGCTAAACTTCTTCAGCAAAAATGAAAAACAATTACATGTTCAACAAGTGAAGTTAGATCTACAAAGATTGTCTGCCTAAACGGTAACACAGGCAAACAAGTTCAGTCCTCCCCAAAAAAATAAACAAATTGTGCTTGCTACTGGCAGTTTCAGAGTGGCCAAAAGAGCAAGAGAAAGTCCTGCCGTGGCTTTGGAGATAACAATTCAGAATATGTTTTATAGTGCACTTTACTTAATGCAAGTATTGCTTCCTGGTTTATTGATTTTTGCTGGCCTCAGCAGGCATCCTTTTTTAGCTAATATTATTCTACTGTTTTTATATGTGATATTCAAATGTCTATACATGCACACAGACTCCTTTTTCATTGCAATATGAGCAGAAATATTTGTGTGAAGGGTTACACCTGATTTTCAAAAGTGCTAAAAGTAGATGAAAAAACTTTGCTCACAATCAGTTTCAGGTTTCATAAATTGTTTTGCATGTGGTATTTACAATTGCTTCACCTCCACTCATAAATATATTATTATTTGTTTGGCTATTAATGCTATATCTGCATATTCATCAAGGCACACAGGAATGTACCTTTTCACCTCCTGTTTCACAGATTTTGAAACGGAAATCACTTTACCTCTGGTATAAAAACTAACTTTGCACATACTCTATATAAATCTTAACTTTTCTGAAGATAATCTAAAAAATGTTCTAAATTTTTTTAACTAAAGCTTAAAACATTCCTAATGAACTTAGATTGTTTAAGAGTGTAAAATTGATGTCATAAAGCAAATACTGGCTAACATAATAAATGTCATTTTCCTTTTTTACAGGTGCTGTCAGACTCAAACATGGCACCATCCTACATTAGGATTTTTGTGTGTCGGGTCTCCTCTGTGTTGTTTTACCTCTCAATGTACATTAGCATTCTTTTCTTTGGGCTCATCAGCATCGACCGCTGCAGAAAGACCATGATGCCTTTTAGGGGCACTAACTCTGCCCGGCTGGCTCGCAGGAAACTCCTCTCCGGTGCTATCTGGAGCTTTTTGCTGATTCTCTGTCTGCCGAATGTAATCCTCACACGAAATACTCCAACTTCTCCAAAATTTAAGTGCAGTGATCTAAAAACAGAAGTAGGGCTAGTGTGGCATGAAGTGGTAAATTACATTTGTCAAGTGATTTTCTGGGGGAACTTGGTTACTGTGATAATATGTTACACTTTGATTTCAAGAGAGCTGTACAAATCCTACTCTCGCACTAAATCCCACAGCACTGAAAGGGTATCTTTAGCAGCAAGAGGAGAAACAGATCATAAGTCCCCCAAATCCAAGAGAAAGATGAATGCAAATGTATTCTTAGTGCTGGCAGTCTTCTTTGTGTGCTTTGTGCCATTTCACTTTGTCCGAATCCCGTATACAATGAGCCAGACCAGAGGGCTTCTCTTTGATTGTAAGCTTAAACTTTTCTTTTTCCACCTGAAGGAAATCGCTCTATTGCTGTCTTCCTTAAATGCCGTACTGGACCCTCTTATCTACTTTTTCCTCTGTCGGTCTTTCAGAACCACTTTGTTCAATACTCTGCGGCTGCCTCCTGGTACCTGCAGCTCATTAACAGAAAGGGGGTCCAACACAGTGCGAGATTCATCTGCAGCTACATAAAACCAGCAGACTTTAATTTAGAATTTTATGTCAAGACTTAAAAAAAAGATTGCATTTTAAAATATCCTGCTATTGAGATTTTTTTTTTTTTTTTTTTTTTTTATATGGCATTGTGATATGAGAAGATATGTGGTTTATTGTAGAGAAAACAAACTAAGATAACAATATAAGCTTGTTTTGGTTTCTTCTTGAAAAAGTTACAATAGGCATGATGGTTTCTGGTTCTCCTTCCTGCTCAAAGTAGACAAGTTTCAGATTTATATTCAAATCTTACTCATGATAATAAAGGAAAGTGTTGGCTCATTTTGATATATAAACAAATATATTGTCCTGCTTGTTTGTTTGCATCCTTACCCATATATTAGTACATGTATGTTTCTGATTAAGTTCTAATGACTTTATAAGCCTTTTTGTGTTTTGTGTTGAGTTGTGCCATTAAGAGTAATTGTTCTGTCAATTTTGTAAGATACCTTATTAAAGAATGAACACAGTGAAAGTTACCCCTGCTCAGACTCCGGATACTTTTTTGTTGGTTGGCCTAAATAGGACTTAACCAACCACATTGCAGCTATTGATTTTATTCACATATCTAGAAGTGATGTAGATGATTGGTTAAACCAAGCATAGGACTGGAAAGGTCTAGAGAATTTAAATGACTTTGAATTGAGGCATGGATCTCAATGCCGGAATTACTGGTCTGCATATTTCAGAGACTTCTCATCACTTGTGTTTTTTATGCTCTGTCAGCTCTTTGTTTACCAAACATTTTCTGAAAAGGGTTAGATATTCAGTGAGCGACACTGGTCTCTAAGAAAATGGGCTAGCTTTCTAACAAAAAATAAAAACACAGTAAATTTAAGCTTTGTTACAACCAAATAATATAGAATACCATAGATAAACACACAGCTCAGTCAACTTTAATGTACGTGGCTGCAAGAGCCATTTTTGTTAGAGGATAAAAAACTGAGGCTGAAGGTTTCACTCACTTAGCAAAATAAAACCATACCACACTGGGGGAAAAAAAACCCTATCAAGAAAATCTTGATTTGATCTTGAACTTTCTCATGGTATGGTCAATGTTTGGTATGTCACCATGAAACTAAAAACAAGTAAGCTAAACAGTTACGATCTATATCTACGTCAGTGCTGAAATAGGCAATCAGGTTAACCCCAGGAAGTCATAGACTTAAATAAATCCTGAACATGACCAAGGGGACCTACAATGCAAACACAAAAACATTGCACTATATTGACAATATGGTGACAAATTAATCCTAGGAAATCTTAGAGATGTGATATTTCTTTAGAAATTAATCATAAAACTGTTAGATATTGGCGACACAGTCAGAACATTATAGCAGCATCCCTTGCATTGAATGAAAAAACATGTAACAACATATTAGACATAACACTTTCAAACAGAAATTATGGCAAAAGACAAAATATCAAGTGGAGGTCTACAGAAGGCTGCTGTACCAGATTATAACTCAGTGGCAGATGTCCAAACCTAAAAGGATTCCAGTCAGTATTCTGGACAAAACATCTCAGGTAGGACATCCATAAAGAGAGGACACAAACGTGCTACTGTGGGTTTCAAGTGGAGTTGTTATTTTTCTTTCTCCATATATACATATAACAAGTATTGTGTTTGATTTATAGATTGAGTTGTCTAGAACAACAATTACATAATTTACATTCAGTGTTGTCAGTTTCAGATATCATGATGCATTCAAATTCTCTGGTTGGACAAGGCAACAAATGTTTTCTCACCTAATGACATTTGCAAAGCATCTATGGCTGGGCAAGCTGGAATAAAATGTAAAGCAGAAGTCATTCCTGCCTTGATAAATCAGAAAGTTGTTCCAGTTCATTTCAGAACTCAGTCCTGACCCTATTCTCCTCAGTTCATGTAAGTACAGTCAAACTCTTTTAAGTTTCAGCTGTTGCTTCAGGCAAGATGTACAACTATGTGTCACGCATCTCTGACTGCACCTCTTCAAGCGTTGAGGGCCGTTGTTACCTGTCTTTTTTTAATTATGGTTGTCTTTGCACTGTTTTTCAGTGGCGTTTAAGTTTGGGTGTCAATACATCTCCTCTCGGTCTCCTCCTATTTAACGTATCCCAAAAACCTCCTCCGGCTGACCTGCCTATGATACTGACCATAACCCTGCTGGCCTCAAGCCTGCTTCCTTGGGGAAAATTTCAGATATAACTCTTCAACCGCTTTTACTCAGGAGTCATTTCCTGCACATGTTAGTACATGAGTATTCATCAGCTTTGAATGCTTCTTCAAAATTGTTAGGCCTTGTGGAAAAACACAAAATGTGATGTTCAGCAAAATAATGTCCACCTTTGTTTGGTTGGGTTGAATCTTTATAGGTATGTGATGAGTTTTACGGAGATGCTTTTCTGGATTTACAGAGTGTTGATTGTGTATTTTTTACATCTGCATCACAATTAGAGTCCGGCAGTTCTTTAGAAACTATGGGAGCAACAACAGTCAAGGAAATATTAAATTATTAAAATATACATTTTCCTGATTATTCTTGTGTTTTTTGTGGGGTGTGCTTTGTGCCTCTGCACTTACCGCATACACCTCTTAATCGGCATCAAATTCATGTCTGTCATCAACAATAGGTGCCAATGTTACATTTTGATCACTGGTGCACTTTGTAAATGGAAGTTTTCATTTCACTGCTAAGCTGCTTATTCACTGTTGAAAGCTGTATTCATTGAACTTTAGTTTTGAATACTCTGTGTATACAAAATTACAATAAAGTATGTCTAAGTCATGTGGGGATTGGCTGTCTAGATTGCTTTCTCAAAAAAATCTGCCGAATATGATAAAAGGATCAGGTATCTGTATTAGAATCAAGTAATAACAAACAATAGGTGTATGTGAAAACAGGAAACTATCAAGCCTTATTGCTTAAAAGAAATACAAAAAAAAAATGGTTCAGGAATTTTGTGTTGCACAGCCCTCTGGTGAGCATATATGGTACAACATCTTGTAAAACAAAGGGCTACTTGCAAAGATGACTGTGGTTCAAAGACGTTTTATTGTCTGTAAATGATACTTGTAAAAAATGTTCAAAGTCAAAGTTTCTGCCAAAATGAAAGAGAACAAAAATTCTATACTATTGAAACATTTTTGTGCATTCAGCTTTTACCCCAACTGAAAGAAACAGTGAAATATTTACCTCAAGATTAAATTGTAAGAAGGGATTTATTCTTCTGTAACCTGATATAAAATTCAATATGGCCACTGCATATCTAAATGTAGTGAATGAACTATTTACCGCACCTTGACATACATATTACATATTTATATATTTGGGAAAAAAATAAAACCATTACTTATATACTACTGTTTTCAGTGGAATCCATAATTTCATTCTTTAGCACTCTAGATGTTCTGTGGATGAAATAATTTGAATATATACAGTATATAAAAAAGATTTTTCTTTTTTTTTTTTTCACTTTTCCGAGAAGCAAATTAGGCCTTAACAATACAATTCCATGCTACTGTATGGAGAATAACATTCTTTCACTTTGTTAGCATTTTTGTTTATTACAGTAATATATGCTTACATAAATAAAGCTATCATTTGAACCTGGCAGGCTAAATGGCAAAAGGATGTCTATATGTGATCAAAGGAAGTACCTGCACACCTGAAATAAATTATCGTTAATGAGCTCACAGCTTGAGGCTTAGGTGTCTATGTCATCTAGGTGCTATGTGTCTGGTTTGTTTTTGGAGAACCCCATTACGTTTTTGCCTATTTTTGCATACATCCTGAAAAATCACCTATCTTAATACAGCTGCAAGTTCAATGTGTTTGCTAGGAAAATCAGACGTTGTTCTTAAGCACCTACAACACCACATCACTCTCAGACGTTTTCACACTTTAAATGTGTGCTTGAGAAAAGAAATCAACCTCTGTAAGTTTCTACGACAACAAATATCTTTTTCTTATTGTTAGCTTTGATAGATGTGTATCTTTCAGGATGGTCGAGGCTAGTAATAAGGCTAATTTATCTACTATGAAAGAAAATGTATTTCTTGGAAGCTAAACAAGTCTATTTTTTCTTATGAGTTAAAAAAATGTTTCTTTAAGGACATTGTTGGTTTCATTGTAGTAAAACTCATATGTTAGTGCTTTAATATTAGTTTATTGTGAGCATGTGTTTGTGGCCATCTATTTGTTACCGGGTGAGGATAATTTCCCAGAAATTGGCTTCTTTTTGGGAGACTTATAAGTACTTGTGGGCACCAACAACTGGTTTGTTTAAGGAGAAATTCTCTTCTTGGACCGGGGATTAAGTTTAGGACAAGGTTATGAATATACATCAGGTGAGGTTTAGGGTTAGGTATGTGCTGGTAATGGTTAGGGTAAGGGTCCATGTTAGGCAGTAGAAATACGAGTAGAAGTCAATGGCAAGTCACTACAAGGAGGATGAGGGTTATATTGAAAGCAACCCAGTTGTAAAGCTTTTTGGGGCAAGAAAGAAGTTTGTTTTGTGCTTTCCATGGAGACAAACATTGCTCTTCTCTTTGCAGAATTATTTTACTTTGGTTAAGCTGGACTTAGGGGTCAACTACTGCATCTTAAACTATGTATGCTTAAATAGCCTGTTTGGGCTTTTTGTGGAAAACGAGCTTGCTGTGTTTCTAGTCATTGTCATGCTGCTTAACCCAAGTGTAATAAGCATAATATATTCACCAAAGGGTGCCTTAAAGTCACAAAAAGTCCAGTAATTTTCCTTCACGATAAAATAGCAAAGTTTCTGTTTCCAATACAGCAATTTGACCAATTTGTCCAAAAACCTACAAATGCTCAAATTTTGATCAGCATGATGTACCAGTTGTAAATATAGGATGGGCCAATGTGTTCTTTGTGGTTAACAGTGGTTGTAACCTTAGCACAGAAATATGTTCTATTAATCACCGATCTAAATTTCAATATTTAAAAACTAAACCAAGCATATAATATTAGCTCCAAGAAGTAATGAAAAAGTATATTTTTTTTCTCTGTCCTAAGACACTGGGGTGTGTTCACTTGGGGACTGGTGGGGCATCTGGCTGAGGGTGTAGAGCTGAACCCAAGATCCAACAATCTGATGGAGCCTCGTTTCCAGAACCCCGTAATAGGCCTTACCATGGAGGCTTAAAAGCTGATTTATACTCAGAAACCAGGTCGTCTGTGTGTGTGTGTGTCGCAGTGAAATGTTTATTGCAAATGTTCCCCTGCCCCTGCCACAGACACTCTAGTGCACCTCTCCAAAATTGTAGGTGAGCGCAGACAGTGCTCCATACTTGAAGTTGGACCAGCCAAAAGAGCAAGGTGCGCGAGAACGCTGGGACCCTTTTTCCACCTGGATCCCCACTCTTTTTCGCCAAACTTGACCCCACTTCCTCACTGCCTGGGCTATATCTAGACCCACAGCTAGTTCGTGAGTCCCTCTTGCATTGTGGCATGGAATAACATAGCGCAGACCACGCTTCAAAATTGGGTATAAATCAAAAATATCTGCGACAAGCTCAATGTGACACACTGCTGCTGGACTATAACTACCCTTTAAGACTATGATTCCCCTATAGTTGGAACACACCCTCCAGTCCCCCTTTTTAAACAGGGGGACAACCACCACCATCTGACAATCCTGGGGAATTGCCCCCGATATCCACACAATGTTGCAGAATTAACCAACACAGCCCCACAACATCTAAAGCCTTAAGGCACTCAGGGCGAATCTCATCCACATCTGGGGCTTTTTAACCACCTCGGTAATCTCAGCACCAGAGATGGGAGAACCCGACCCAGAGTCCCCAGGCTCACTTCCTTAATGGAAGATGTGCTGGTGGTGGTCATCGAAGTATTCCACCCACCGACACAGGATGTCCCGAGTCAAGGTCAGCAGCACACTACTCCCAGTACAAACAGTGTTGGTTCTGCACTGCTTCCTCCTCCTGAGATGCCGGATAGTGGCCCAGAATTGCTTTTAAGCTGTATGGAAGTATTTCTCCATGGCCTCTCCTAACTCTTCCTACACCCTTGTTTTTGCCTAAGCAGCCAGCCGAGTTGCCCGCTTCTTTGACTGCGAGTACACATCAGCTGTTTCCAGAGTTCCACATGCCAATAAAGCCTGATAGAACTCCTTCTTCAGCTTGACAGCCTCACCACTGGTGTTCACTAGCATGTTTAAGGGTTGCCGCTGTGACATATGCCAACAACCTTTCGGCCACGGCTTCAACTATCCACCTCAACGATAGAGGCCTGGAACATGGTCCACTCACACTCAATGTCCCCCACCTCCCTCTGAACGTATTCAGAGCTCCCGCTCTCTGCCAGAAGTTTGCAGCAAACTCTCACAATACCAGGAGCACTCTCGGCTGGCTAGCTCAAGTGGTCAGTCATCCGACTTGCAAACAGGGATTTGAATCCCTCCTTGGGGGAAAGAGTTGCCAGTTTGGGTCCTTAGGCAAGATGCCTAAGTGTGGGTCACGCTAATGCCTTTGTAAGTCGCTTTGGATAAAAGCATCTACTAAATGCATAAACAGAAACATTTAAATGTTTGGGCTCACCACTAGGTAGTGGTCGGTAGAGAGGTCCACCCCTCTCTTCACCCGAGTGTCCAAGACATCTGGCCATAGGTCAGATGAAACAGCAACAAAATCAATCACTGTACTACGACTCAGGGTGTCCTGGTGTCAAGAGCACATACACCCTTATGCTCGAACATGGTGTTCATTATGGACAATCCATGACGAGCACAGAAGTCCAACAACAGAACACCACTCGAGTTCAGATCAGGTGTGCTATTCCTCCCAACCATGCCACCCCACGTCTCACTGTCATTGCCCATGTGAGTGCTGATGTCCCCCAGAATAACAAGGGAGTCCCCAGGAGGAGCACCCTCCAGTACCCCCTCCAAGGACTCAAAAAGGTGAGTAATCTGAACTGCTGACCAGCCTCTCTCAAGGAGTTTGGTTCCGGAGCCAGAGTTATGTGCAAGGTAAGTCTGACTATCTAAAGCCAGAGACCTCTTAACCTTGCGCACAAGCTCCAGCTCCTTCCCCACCAGAGAGGTGACATTTCACATCCTAAAAGCCAGCTTCTTCTGCCGAGGATCAGAATGCTAAGGTCCTTGTCCTCAACTGGCACTCATTACACAATACACCCGACCCTTTTGGCCCCTCCAAAAGGTGGTGAGCCCATTGAAAGGGGATCAACAGATAACTAATTTAGTTAAATCATCGAAGCTATCAAGGCAATTATTTCTCACCACTAGGTGGGCTATTTAGCACTGTCTAAAGATCCAAACAACAGCACAGATGTGTGACAAGCAACACCATCTCTACCTCTGTCACAGTTACCCCAACCCTCTCACCCAATGCCTTTTTTGGGCATATTTGCAAAAATTAAACACATAGCAAAACAGAATTACCTTTTGGAGGGAAGTGTAATTTAAAGAAGTAATTAGTTCATAACTTTATAATGCTGGTCGCAAGAGAACTTTATTTTTTGCATATACATTTTTTTAAAAGAATAATTTGATCTGCTATACGAGCTTTCCACCATTTGGTTCAATACTATGCTGCGCTTTCCTACACGGTTTGGGGTTAAGCCATGAATGACAGCTGTTTACATGGAAGTATATGCATTCTTGTAAACAAGATACTACACAACAATACAATAACTGCTTGATAAATGTCAGACTATGAGAAATCCCTGTTGAGATTAGAGCTTCTTCTATAGAATTTAGTAGCGAGAAAAGCAAAAATACATCACTTCTAAGTGACGTATTTTGACTATGGAGCTGCGGCGGGTTGTGAAGCTAGCTGCTTGATGCTGATAGGCAAACATACTGAATGTTTTCTGACTGAAAAGTGATCGTTCAGTCAGAACAGTATTTTGTGCTGAGCTTTTGCTGTGGGTTTTGAAGTTTAATATTTCAAAGCTCCTCACAATTATTTTCACCCATTGTGGTGATGTGTTTCAACATTTATTAATAAACTGCATGTCAAGCTCAGACCAATAGGACCCACTATTAAAGGAAGAAAAACAGCTAGATTTCTCAAAATGTTTATTGGGAACTGAACCAAAGTGAATAGCATCAATGTCCAAGGCAGAATTCTCTGCAGGAGGAGACAACATGTTAGTGACCACATCTTTCTGGAGGTGGGTGATAAGGAATGTGTGAGTCACTAACCTGGTCTTATTGTTCAGTCCGAGCCCAGAGGGGGAAGTTGGTTCCAGCCGGTCAACTGCCAACTCAACGCAGAGGTTGCTGCTGAGAATGTCCCAGACACTGATGTTTCTGTGGTTGGAGAAAAGGCAAAGGATTAGACCCAGCAGACAAAACCAGAGGGTGAAGCCAATGCTAATGTTGATGCTCAGTAGTCAGAGCCAGGAGGTCAGAGATACAAAGAGGGGACGACGGAGAATCCAAAACTGAGTCGGTAATAGTTCCAGGTTCGGTACACAGGCAGACAGAGATCTGGCAGGAGTCAGAAGACTAAGTTTAGGAAAACAGATCAGACGGAAATGCAGGCTCAGAGGTCGAGAGGCAGAACACATCAGAAACAGGCAATCAGAATACAGGAATGGTGTAATACTTTTCAGCAAAGGCACTAATAACTGGTCTGACGGTTGGTTAAATAGGGACAAAAAACACACACGTTTGTTTTAATGGCTGAAAGGACAAAAGAGGTAATTTAGCCAAACTTGGTGTTGGCGGTAATAAACCTTAACGGAATACAAAATTATTATTGTTGTTTTTAATGGTTATATGTATTAACATACTAGTAAAAAAAAAAACATTATGACACAGTTAACTGGTAGCTAAACTCTTTTGGGGTTTTATTGTTTTGTTTTTTCTTTCAGTGTAAAGCTGCATGGAATAAATAATCGGACAATGACAGATTATTTGGATACACAAATGAATCCTAACCAACAATGTGAGTACAGTTAGGAGTTGTATGTTTTCACTTGCTTGTTAAAATACAATAATAATCAAATTACCAACAATAATTTTCCATTGAATTTTTTACTTTTTATCTTTGTCTTTATTTTCCTTAGATGCACTGGACCCATCCCTGCATATGTCTCAGAATCAATCGCAGTGTGACAGATTTTTGTACAACCCATACATAGTCCCAAGTCTCTTCTTTCTGATGTTCCCAATAGCCTTGTTGTTGAATGTTGTAGCAGCATGGGTGTCTGTACATCTAAAGTCTACCTCCACTTTTGTGGTATACCTGAAAAATCTAGTAGCTGCTGACATAATTATGACCCTCATGATACCAATCAAAGCTGCAGGGGACTTACCTGACACATGGGAACAATTATCTGGACCAACCTGCCGTTTTTTTGCTGTGATTTTCTACAATGCACAGTACACATGTATCGCTCTGTTGGGATTAATTAGTCTCGAACGTTTCTTTAAGATCATGATGCCGCACAGCAGGCTCTCTGGGCAAAGTCTGACGATGAGCAAAGTGGTATCTGCCACAGTCTGGTTGGTTCTTTTTATAGGTACAGGTTTGCCGAATATCATTCTTACAAACAAAACATTAAACAATACATCAGTTATCACTACATGCATGGTTCTGAAAGGACCAGCAGGAGTAGCATTCCATGAAGCAACATCCCTCCTCATGAATATATTCTTTTGGTTTGTTAGTGTGGTCATCGTAGTTTGCTACATCTGCATCGCAAACAGAGTCATCCAGTCCTACAGGAACTCCGGTAGTAATAACAGCCAGGGAAAGCAGAAAATCAAACTACGTGTTTTTCTTGTCATTATAGTGTTTTTCATCTCATTTGCTCCATACCACATCATTAGGATCCCATACACTTCCCAGCAAGTCAGCTACTCTTCCACAGACTGCTTTCAGACATATGATCATTTACAATTTGCCAAGGAACTGACCCACTGGCTCGCTACCACCAATATCTGCATGGACCCACTGCTCTATGTCTTCCTTTGTCGAGAGTTCAAGGAGAAACTAATGTCAATGACAAAAAAATGGGTTGATATCTTTCAAAGTGACAAAAAAGCCAAAAATCCAAAAGTCTTGACCTCATTAAAGATGTAGTCAAATATGTGTCTGCACCACTGACTTGTTTTACATTGGTCTAAAAGAGAAGGAAATAGGAGCAGCTTATGAAACTTCAGTTTTTGGCTTATTTATTATGAGGAGTTCTGCACTGTTACATACAGTGAATCTTTGATAGGAGGGGGAAAATCTACATTAAAAAAATGCCCATTTTATATGTTCTAATAAACAACCCACAATTTTGAGAGCTTTAAGTCTAGTAACGTGTTTGATGTCCATGCATTCTAGATGTCAAGTGCATGTCAGAGCTATTTTGGACATCATTAGAACTGTAAACACTTTGAATTTAATGTTTGGAGCTGACTACACAGTGTAACTGTACACTAACATAAATGGCATATGGTGTAAGTCAAAATAACCTGTTGATGCACTTGTGGTTGCGATTCCTCTGTTACGTTTGGTTGAAATCACTGGAAAGTTGTTTTAAATTCTGTCAAAATCAACTAAATATATTACAGTTATAATATATACCAATATAACCAGTATATGAATTATATTACATGGTCAAATTATAAAATGCTGATTTAATGAGAAAATTGATCTGATTTCACCAGTCTAAGTTGGGTGAATCTTCATTGGATAAGACAAAGGGTCTGTAGAAGTTATCATGTTATAATATCTCTGTTTCACTGTTTCCTTTTCATAAATTAGCTAGCAGAGATTTTAATTTGCTGTACATAAAGCATCCCTAAGTTGCAACATTCATTTAGCCTGGCTTAGCTGGAGATAAAATCACATGTGCTTCATCACCAGAGGGTTAGAAAAACAATATTAGAGCTTTTTTTAATCTAAAGCATGTTTTCATAAGCCATTGAAACACAAGACAGATTTGCAGTAATGTAATAAGTAATTTACTTCACCTTGAATAGAAATAGTACATTAACTTAAGTATAAATGCAGTTTGTATGTCATATCAGGTTAGTTGTTTGTCATGTTTATGTAATTCTATATTTTACAACATTTTCTTGTTTGAGATTTCAAAGTGAACTGTTTTTTTCTTTTAATACACAATGTTTTTTGCATGGTTTACTGCAAGATGTAACGGTTGTGTGCAATATGACTTCTGCTTTGGCTTCACTGAATTGAAAACTTTTTCTTTTAAAGCTATATATATCATATAAACATGGTGGAAGGAGCATGTTTTACAAACCCAATAAACTCTATAAACCCTATGATGAATCTCCATCTTGATTTTAAGATGTGTTTTGTGGATTTCAAATCACCTTTTAGATGTTAAAACTCAAAATTTGGGTATGTAAAAAAAAAAAGACATATAGATATGGTTCACAGTTCTCTAGGCTTTATATAAGGGGCAACTTTCACTAGAGGAAATGGCCCTAGTGACACTCATCCTATCTCTCACACATGGTCTTTCCTTCAGTCATAATTCCTGGCTCTAATCCAAGAAAATCACACAGGAAGTCATTTTGAGAAATTCTCAGAAAGAACGTCTTGTATTTCCAACACATCAGGAAACTTAGATCTGAAAGCTAAACTTGATTTGAATACTGGGCAATAACAGGTATGTACAGCATTTGTCACTAGTGATAGGAGATTTAAAAAATTAGATTGCAAAACAAAATCATTTAAAATTATTAAACATTTGGCTATGTGAATTAGTTTATCTGTTCTGGTCTTAAGAAAACAAGGAAATGTGTTTGAGACAGTTTAAATGTTATTCTGCTGCTGAGGACTTTTTTTAGTCTAACATGAGCATACACTGTGGTTAATGGGAGGTGCAACTTTGTGCAGGAGGTCTCAACCCTTTAGTCTGAAAAAATTTTCATGTCTTTGGCATCCGACGTACAGCAGCTAAGGAGACTGAGAGAGGCAAAGGGACTGGCACGAAGTAGAACAAGCCTCTCAGCAGACAATTGGAACAGGAAGCAAGGAAGGAAAGGGGCTTTCACCCGGAGGAAGACTAGCTAACTCATTGGGACTGTGACAAGACAGCCCCACAATAACTCCAGAGTCCAACCATTGTAAGACTACCGCACACAAACACACACACACACAGTCACACACTGTTAAAGGCAGAAAAACAGAAGGGAAACGTTAAGAAAGACAGGCAGGCTCGTTCCATATGTCAGAGAGTATTTTTTTCTGATAAAAACAGCACACATCAGAGTTTATTATAGGTTTTCATACTTTTATTTTTTAGCTTTCTTTTTTCTTTTGTTTCAGCATTCTTGCATTTCTAATTTGGGGTGAAAGATAAAAGAGAATTAGAAATTTCACTTCACTTTTTTGGTCAAATCCTGTACTTCTTACTGCTCTCGTTATTATTTTGTTGTCTGCTGACAAAACAAAAGGTAAGACTTTTCTGACTTAAGTTAATTCAACTGAAATCTCAGATTCAAGAACTGTGTTGCAAAGAACAAGCGCAAGTTTAGACTAACAAATGTTTGAAAACAGGATAGAAAGGTGGTCACTACACTCACATTTGGCTTTAAAAATGCTCTCTGTGCATCACGGAAGTACTGGTTTAAAAGCCACGCACTGTATGCTTTATATGTATCTTAAAAATAATTAATGCATAAATATCAAATTATAAACTTTTAACAATTTAAAGATAGAATGAATGAGAATTCCTTGCAGTTTAAAAGAAAAAAAAGTGCTTTGTTAACATTAATTTCTGTTAATTCTGTAAAAAGAACTGCTTTTTTTATTCAGAAAATGCTGTTGTGACTTAATATTCTTCTTCTTTTAAAATGATAGATTCATATGGAGAATGTCTTTTTCTTTTTAGTTTTTGCCATCTTGCATCTGTTCAAAGGGATTATAACAATTGATCTATTAAGTAAATGTCTCATAAAATTATTGTATTTGTCCTTTTGAGCGGGTAAGTAATTTTTTCTGCCAATTACTAGCTGACCCTTACATAACATCATTATAGACAACACTTGAACTAAGGTAATGTAAGTTATTTCTTTTTTTATTTCAAGGACCAAAATCTGATTTAATTGGTAGATCATGTTACTTGACTGCTCAAATCAAGTGCAAATACAATTACACTTCAAGAAAATGTTAGTTCTCTACTTTGAGAATAGCGGCATGTTGTTGCATGTTGTTCTTATAGCAATAAGCAATTCACACATTTTACCACACTGATAAAAAACAGCTAGAACATAGAACTCCAAAAAATGTTTTCTACTTTCACTCAAAGTTGCTCTATTTCAAAAAATGCTACAAAGTCATCCTGGGGTCCAAGTCATTTCACCCCTCTACCATTTTGTACTTTTGTAATTATTGTCATTTCATTCGTGGATGTCATGTGCAAAATGTGACCCCCACTGATGGCTGGCGATTACTTCTGATCTTTTACTTTGTATCTACCAGGGAATGTGTTGTCGGAAAGGACAACAAATTTGTTAACGTAGTCTGCTGTGTCCAAACGTCCGCCCTGACCCCTATGTAGAGCACTATATAGGGGTTACGCCACTTTATATGGGTGTATGGTGGATGAAAAAGTAGTGGACTCAAAATTTCCCACATTGGACCTTGAAAAGTAGTGATCATCAGTGATCATTTGGCAAGTAGATATATCTCAGATTGCATTTATACCAGAAAGCATCACCTGATTTGTTTTGAGGATGAGAGAGAAAAAATGAACACTTGGGATTGCAATTCATTCAGCGGGGAACCAGAGTCACGTGATCAATGGGAAGCGATCATCTGAGTGATCATCTGTCTTAACAGTTAACTGAGTTCATTATAAAGTCCACTATATGGTCCCCACTCTATATAGTAATTGGGGGGTTTGGTCGGACATTCATACACAGCCTTTGTCTATACTTTGCATGCAGTCTACAACTAGGAATGTGGTAATGTGATCAATATTTAATTTTAGCAACATTACTGCAGATTGCTTAGGATTCCACAAAATGTTCAAGACTTTCTTACACAATATATAATTTGTATAGACACTATTAAAAATAACATAAACCAAAACATCATGGTTTAAGTAATTACATATGGGGTTGTTTAAAAAGTTAAAGCTGGCGGTAGGACCAGATGAAACTGGATCAATGCTAAATGGGAAAAAATGGAGAAGTGGCAAACTGACCACATACCACCGTTAGTCTCAAATGCAAGGTTAACTAGTACATAAAATAATTCCCAGAAATAAGGAGTGCTTGCTTATTCTATAAGTGTATCCGATATTGAAATGGGGTTCTTATCATCACTTAAAAACATCCTTAGAAATGTGTTTATATTTTTTAAAGGTCCCACGGAGAACCTGAAGATGAACAGCACGATATTGAACACATCCTTTAAGTGTATTAGAGATACAAGTGTGACATCAGTGGTTTTCCCGGGTCTCTACAGTATCCTTTGTGTAGTTGCCCTGGTACTGAACTCCCTGGCTGCAGTGATCTTCTTCAGCATACCCAGCACCACAACATTTGTGGTCTTTTTAAAAAATGTGGTAAGCTCTTACTTTAGACCATAAATCACTATCAACGAAGACTGAATGGAAACGATGATAACTGAAAACCTTACATCTCGTGCCTTACCAACAGGTGGTTGCTGACTTGCTGATGACTCTCACCATCCCGATAAGAATCTTGAGTGATGCAGGGGTTGGTTTTTGGCAGCTACGTGCGTTCTATTGCAGATACTCTGCTGTGCTCTTCTACATTACCATGTATATCAGCATTCTGTTGCTCGGCCTCATCAGCTTGGACCGCTACTTGAAGATCGTAAAGCCTTTCGGAAGATGTGCTCTGCAGAAGGTTCGGGTCGGCCAAATGCTGAGTGCAGCTATATGGGTCGTAATGTTATCTCTTGCACTCCCCAACATCATTCTCAGCAACAAGCCCCCTAAAATCTCGGGAGGGAAACTCAAGTGCTCCTCCATGAAGAGCAAAGAGGGCCTATTGTGGCATGAGGGATTCAACTATTTCTGTCAGGTAACCATTATATAAACAATTGTTATTTTAAATATAACATTTTTAAGGGTATAAAACTGTGGATTACATCCATATTTGTGCAGGGACTTTTTAAAAGACTTTCAACTTGGTGCATAGGTGGGGTATTAACCATCCCATCTTTAACAAAGAACATCCACATTTTTTTTCCAAAAAAAAAGAATTAAAACTGCATAGCCTGAGAACTACTTTTTGTAACAGTTGAATCACAATAACTCTATTATACAAATGTGACTACAAATTATTTCTTTTGCTTCATAACTCTTTTATGTGTATTTTAGGTCATATTTTGGGGCACGCTTGCCTTGATGGTGTTTTGCTACACGTTCATCAGCAAGAAGGTCTATGAGTCATACAAAGCCTCAAGGAGCAAGTCTCAGGTTGCAAATCGAAGAACCAAAGCGAAGGTTTTCGTGGTAGTGGGTGTGTTTTTTATTTGCTTTGCCCCTTATCATTTTGCACGGGTCCCATATACACTAACTCAAACCCGCAGCACCACTCATTGCCGGGCAGAGAACGCGCTCTACATTGCCAAGGAAACCACACTGTGGCTGTCAACAACTAATATATGTCTTGACCCACTTATTTACATCTTCCTGTGTCGGGTGTTTAGAAGAAAGCTGAAGACCACATTATGCAAAGCTACCAAAGATTCGCCCAAAGTGACATCAACACAACTGGAGATGTCACAAATGGTCCACACCACCCGACAGTCACACAATGACACCTCCCATGCCAGACAATGTACACCAGAGTCAAGTTTTGCCTGTTAATCTCCTTCAAACCTGAAAGACTCTTTGTCATCCTTGTACAGTATGTAGCAGTTTTCAGTATGCAGTTTGGACAAACTATAAAAATGGGCAGACTTTTGTTGGACACGAAAATATGTAACTGCTTTCTGTGCACATCAGGCCTGTTTGTTTTGTGAACCAAGCACAAAATGTTTGCCTAGTCATAGAGCACATTTCCTTAACTGAACTTACACTGTCAAAATTCAGCTTCCTGTGGTTTAATCTCTCTGAAACTGCACTTTTTCTTTATTGGGATGCAAACATGTTGACAGAATAAACTTTAAAACTATATATCAAGAAGAAGCTAAATAACAAATTTTTTTTAGAATAACCTGATTACAAATATCATTATATATAAATAGTAAATCACTACTATTTTGCATTAAATAGCTATGCGTTAGTTGAATAGTTGTCATTTTACCCCTAGGAGTTAATTAAAATCAAAAATACTTTATTAACCCCAAATGGAAATAAATAATGTGAATAATAACAGATATATTAACTCAAAACAAAACTCCTGTTGAGTTATATTTGCTGTGCGTCTAAATCTAGCTATCAGCTTCAAGATTTTGGACTTTAATTCAGCATTGGTTATTATTATAAAGTAGTTTAAAAAAGGCAAATAAGAAAATGGGTTAGATCACCAGTTGTAATTAGGTGATAGCAGAACATATATATATGAAAAGAATGCACTAGCAGGCTTACAAGGTTACAATGAACATACCAAGATCTTGGTAAATCATAAAATCATGGTACTTCAGCAGGTTTCCCCAAAAAGCGCTAATGATATCCTTCTCTGTTTACTTTTCGTTGGTCAGTCACTGAGTTTTTGCTGTGTACACCCTTAATTATGGTAAATGCTCTAGACACAGAAAAATACACATTCTGATTAGTATATTATATTAATCAGTGACCATACATTTTGATTTATATACTTTTTTTTGGCTAAAGTACTTTGCATAATTTAGAGTAAAAAGCTTGGATGAGTTTTGACCAGCTTTAAATAATAGTTGTCTTTATTAACTACCAGAAATGTCTTGAAAGGATTATCAAATAACTTATCAGTTTGTAAACTTATCTTAAAGGTATTGTGGAGGATTTTTGTGAATTTTTTAAAAGACTGGCCCTCTTAAAAAAAAAAATTTATATGCTCAACCCTGTACCCGCTCCCAAGAGGGAACGCCTATTAAATGCGTTTGAGACGATGCACACGCCCATTTCTCCTTGTGTACGCTCTGTTTAAAAGTTGTTGTTCTCATAGCTCATACAAGCTCATACAAGCTTACCCCTAAATCCTTCAATCACTATATAGAGCGGGGACTATATAGTGGACTTTATAGCAAACTCAGTTAAATAATTGTTTGGACAGATGATCACTGCTTTTTGCTCCCTGTTGGTCACGTAACTCCTCCTCCTCTGCGAGGTGCCTACGCCATCTTTGTTATTAGTCACCTCTGTCTGATAGCGAGAGCCTATGGCGACTGCAGGCCACTGTGACAGTAAATCCCATAATGCTTTGCAAGGAGAGCTTTCAGCGCAAAGCATTCTGGGATATATCTGCCTCTTCCGAGGCTTTTCTTCTCATACACTTTTTAGATGCATTTTCTCTTACAACCATCTGCCATTTTCAAAAAAGTGCAGTGAGAAAGGTGAGCTTCACTGACTGGCTGACACCTTAGCTCACCACACATATATGCCTGAATGTGCGCATGCGCAGAAAAAGATAGGTAACTTGGGACTAGCACGTAGGATGGCCTTAAGTAAACATATCACCAGAATGATTGACAATTAGGAGGACCACTTACTTGATAATCCACCCAAAAAATAAAAGATCGTCCAATATACTTTTAAAAGAAAAAGTGCAAAAATAAACTAGTTAACTAACATGAAACTTTAATTAGCCCAATTCAAAAAACTGTTATCGATAATGGAATAGAGAAACAATTAAACAAATACATCTCAAACATTTGTAAAAGTGCCGAGAGTAAGCAAATGTGATTCTATCTCTAGTGTGAAAGAAACTTATTATGTTTTGTGACAATTTATACCAAAAATTGTTTTTGCAAAAGTTTGTCATTAAAGATAAGCTCTTCTTCAAAACTGGGTTAAACTATTAATATGTAACAGCACATTTATTGAGAGATTGAACATCGATGATGAAATGGTATTTGCAGTTCCGCTCTTAAGAGTATTTTTGCATAAGCTGAGTTTCTGATTATTTTTGTGTATTTCCTATTTGTACATTGTTTAGCTTTACATCTATGGATTATTAACTTTTTATAACTTTTTAATTAAATTTGTTGTGGGAAAAAGCAATAACTAAAATTGGACAACCCAAATTGAATGTTCTTGTTTTATTTTTCAAAATAAGATGGGATGTTTTTAGAAATGCGGGTGGATGACATAACAATTGGGGTAGTGATATGAATTACATTATGTAAAGTAAGTCAGTAAAGAATAGACTAGCAATGATTGAAGTAGATATTTGATGGAAGAAATGTCTAGATAAGCACATTTGTGGGTTACCTGTAAAGAGTATTAAAAAAGGACAAAATTAGATACAACAATGATGGAAATCAAAATGTAAGGCTGCTACATCTTTTCATGACAATAACTAGCAACATAACTATTTTTTTAAGATGGATATTTGTGGAAATTACTAGAAACTAGGGCTTCACAGTATATTACCAACTTATTGCCATTGTAATTCAAGTTTGAGCAAAGTTCAAAAGTCTTGCAAATGAGCACAGATATAAGGGCAGAAATTCACCCTTTTGTTACATTTTCTGTAAACATTTAAATTAATTCCATTTAGTTATGCAGCATTAAGTTGCTTGTCAAATTAATAATGTATATAAAATGTCAATCATTTGTACTTTGTAATTTGCCATATTTATTCCTTACTAAAAGGATGTTGGATGCATTAAGTACCCAGTAAGTAAAAAGGAGTGTGGATATTCTACATTTATCTGAAATTATATCATGATAGATATCATGATATAATTTGTCTAGAATACCTCAAATGTATAAATGCCCATTATTCTGCAGCCTTATAAAACAAATCAATACCTTGAATTAAAAAATGAAAATAAAGGAGTTATTGTAGAAGAGGAATTAGCCATAATATAACTTTTAATACAGAATCATTTCCAAAAAGGTAATCAGGATCCTATGCTTAAAGGCTTTTGAAATTACTCTGTAAATACTTTGTATTTCTATGCTTGGTCATGTGATGCTCCAAAAATCTGGCCCCACCTCCATGATGACTGCTGGAAGGTTTCCTGCACCTAATTATAGTGAAATGACAAAGCAAGCCCTAAAAATGGGTTGATATAATTAATATCTATTGAAAAAAGATGTGTCTTTCTGAATAAGGGAGCATTATTGTTATAAAGAGCTACAACTCCATATTAATTTTAGATTGTTTTGCTCCTCTGGTTCCTCAAAGCAACAAATCTGGACAGTTATCTGGTGCCAAATGCTGCAAAATAAAATGCATATTTGACTTTACCATATAGATTACGCCATCAATGTCTGATTAAACTATGAATAAAAAAAATGCATTTTGCAAAATTGCATTTTTTTTTTTTATTCATAGTTTAATCAGACATTGATGGCTAATGCTAACATTAAACTGACTTTATCCAACTCTGCCACAACCAAGAAATTTGGTTTTAAAACGTTCAAAAAGCTAGTTCTTCAGGATTAATGTCACCTGCTCCATGATTTATTATTAAGTGTGCATGGAAGTATGATTAATGCAATAGTAAAATATAATCTCTCTCCAGCCCACCCTCTGTCACTTATGACAGAAACTGATAATTGGGCAGGAAATAAATGAGCTCCTCTGTGGCCAGAGCAGCGACAGCAGCTACCGGAAGCTGGGTTAGTCATGTAAGCATACCTTACCATAGCTCTAACAGATAATACTCTTTTAGTGAACAGGGAAAAATATTTAATGATATTCACAGAAATATAAGAATGCAGAGTCTTTCCTGTGTGTATGTAAAGAATAAGGACAGTAAGAAAATTAAGAGGAAAACATTTTCGTGGAGAATGGTTAAAGGGGCAGAGATTCTAACTGTTGATGGTGACACAGTATAAATGTTAAAACAGACCAGTGGCGTTCTACTTATAACAGAGAAGCAAATTCAAAAGTTTCAACATATTTCATGCCAAAACGCTCAAGAAGAATGGCTGAATAAACGACGGCGTAAAAGACCCTGATAAACACGCTAAAAAGAAAATAAAGAAAACTTTATAAAATATCCTTAACCCCCTTCGATATTAAAACAACAACAAATTTTTTCTAATACGTATCTCGACTAATGACGTAGTTGGCTATCGAACCAGCCACAGAGGAAGTCTGTGGGGAAGATCTTGAAACTAATGTTGCATTTGCACTCCCCACAAAACAAACTTGTCGTCTGTGTTTAGGTATGTGCTTAAAAGAATGAGACTTGAAAAAAAAAATGTTTTTACAAATGCACCATAACAAATATAACATATGTTAAAATAACAATGAAAGAAAAGCTCTAATTTGATCAATATCAATTAAGAAACATTGATCAACCTTAATAATAAGTAAGATTGAAGTATGGTTTGGGAAAATGTAAATGCAGCATGTCATTCACAGATTATTTTCAACTGATTTCCCTTCGATGACAATGGCTTCCCTGTACTCCTATAGCTTTCACAGACATCAGACCTTAAATCATCTTTCTGCTCTGAGTACCAGAGCTCTGGAGATATTCAGCTGCTTGTGCAGAACTTCTGTTCATTCAAACCTATATAATCTGTTTTAATCTAGAACAAACCTAGACCAAGTAAGTATTTCCTTATGTTTTTCGATCAAAACAGTGAGCAAAAGAAGAAAATTGACCTATTTTCTCTGATTAGTTATATGCATCATTTAGGTCACAAAAGGCCACCCTACCATTTTTTTTTCCCTCTAATACAGATGGTGCAACAGCAATACTCTCAAGTGAAATATTCTAAACATTTTTATATATATTAACATTTACTTGACAACAAAACACTGTGGTTAATTAAGCACATCAATGTACTGACATTAAAGATGATAAGTACAGAATTCATGCTCTTTTCAGTACTACATTTTGTGTTATATGGGGTAAAGAGAAATTATTTCTCTGTGCAAGTCATATAGGAGTATTCAGTGAAGAATTATTCATAGATAACTATTTAAATAAAAATGTATTAAATAATCAATCAATGTAGATATTACTTGTAAATATATTTTTTGGCAGAATGATTATTGATGAAAGTAACTAATGACAATGGAAATTATGTTCACCCCAGAACTCAAACCTGAAAGAATTGTATAAAACAATACATTTTATCTAGGAAGATGTTTCAATATATGCATCTATTTTTTAACAAAGGCTGTAGGAAAGGATATTTCGTCTTTATTTAGAAAACATGGACGTTTTGCTCTTTAATTTTCTTGTTGGAACAGGGTAGATTGACCCTGAGGTTCTGGTACCCGTCCACAATCATCCAACCCTCAGTGTACATTGGTTATTGCCTGGGCGCCCTTATAAAGATTTTCTGGCTACGCCTCTGAACACCAATCGCCCGCCCAGCAGGGCAATGCATATACAAACAACTATGTACACGCATGCACAACTTTCAACAACAACGTTGTATCAGAGCTATGTTTACGTTCGCGTAGCCATCAATATGGCTGCCACGTCCCACAATGCAACGTGGATCCCGAGCCCTATTTACGTCACCAGTCATTACACTGTCTTGGTCTAGTTTTGTTTTATAATAACATTCCTGACAACAGCTTTGATATTCATAAAGTTGCAAAGAGCACTGCAATTTAAATAGAACTCGAAACATACTCGTGTAAATAAAAAATCTAAGGAATGAAAAATAGATTGGGGTCGTCTAGATCTCAGAACTGATCCAGAATAATCTAACAAAAATCCATAAAACCTTGCTGCAGTGCCAGGATGGTAAACACACACTGACTCTCCTGCTTAAAAATGAAAAAAAAGAGGAAAAACTCAATGAAATACTATTATTGATGTTAACTTTATTTTCTCTTTTTAATGCAAATATTTCAGACTAACGTATCAATCCGCTTTCGTTTCAATGCGCGCTCGCGCGACAGCCCGCCTCGTCCACGCGCCAAAGGAATCCTCTGCCACGTGACATCTCTGGTTGGGTCATATGATCTTCTTCCGTTCGGCTGTTTATTGTGGGAAGCCAGAAGCTAAACATGGCGGATTTTGAGGAGCGCCGGGGTTTATTAGGAGACGAGAATGAATGTCCGGCCGCAGGTGGACAGGGAGCCGGCGGAGCCAGCAGGCCGATGGCTGCTATCTGCGACCCCAGCCACCTCCTCCACCGGGTGGTGGTTCTGGTGTTTATGTGCTTCCTGGGATTCGGTGAGCTGCGTCCCAGACAGCGCTTTATGATATTTGAGATGGAAACAAAGAATGTAAATAGTTGAGAGGGGTTTGCAATTCAGCTGTTTTTCATGTCTAATCTTTTATTCCAGGAAGCTACTTCTGTTATGATAATCCAGCTGCTCTCCAAACCCAAGTTATTCAGGTAACTCCTGATGTCAAACTTGGATATTGTAGAGAAATGTCAGTTTTCCTTCCATAGCAAACATACTGCATATTTTCTTTTCTTTGCTACTTAAATATTACAGTAGTAATGAAGCTGTCCGATCCGAACTGTCAAAATACCTCCATTGTTTCTACAGAGAGGCTTTAGCTCACCTCCATGTTTAATCTGAGGGATGGAAGAATATACAGCAAGTTTTACCAGATTACCTCCGATTCCCGTTCGCTCTGAAAAGTCCTCATGCTGTAGTTGATTTGGTTTTTATAGTTGGGTAGTGTGAACTGATCACGGTTTGTAACTATACAACAAAACAAAAAAAAAAACAGAAAACAGCACTGCTAATTAAGGAAGAGGATTAGGGCCACAGAAAAAATTTAAAAAGTTTACTGATTTTTAAAGTTTATTTTTGTATAATATGAGAAAAGGTCAGAATTCCGAATGTGTTTTCTCAGAATTCTAACTTTAATCTCAGAATTCGGACTTTAATCTCAGAATGCACACTTTAATCTCAGAATTCTGACTGATTTCTGACAGCTAACAAACATTAACATGTCTGTTTTAGAGACTAGCTCTCTTGTTTTAATCACCTTCTGCTCCTCCATTAAGCTCGCTGGGGACCCCTCGGACACGTAAAAAGTCCCCTAAAAGTCGCCTTATTCCGTCATTTTCCACCAATGTGTTACTGGCCCCCCCAATCAACTCACATCTATGTCAGTGAAGCTGAGGGCTCACACATATCTTCCTTCATGGTGCCCATCTACATTAAGATCTAACATTCTGAGATTAAAGTCTGACTTTAATCTCATTATTCTGAGCAAAAAAGTCAGAACTCTGAGAAAAAAAAAGTTGGAACTCTGAGAAAAAAGTCAGAACTCTGAGAAAAAAAGTCAGAACTCTGAGAAAAAAGTCAGAACTCTGAGAAAAAAAGTCAGAATTCTGAGATTAGTCTGAATTCTTTTTTCCCTTATAAAACTGAAATAATATTTTTAATCGGTTAACTTTTTAAGACATTTTTCAGTGGCCCTACTCCAGTTACGTAGATAATTTTAGAAACTATCACTTAAAATAATTCAATCAGAGAGTGATAGAAACAGGTAAAAAGCAGCAGATCTATAATCAATTATATAAAAAATATATATATGTGTGTATATATATATATAGTTAATGAACACCTTCAACCTCAAATTCACAACTGAATAAAACTTTTTTCACGCAGAATAGAATAGAATATCTCGTCCCATCCAGTCCAAAACGTTTTATTAGTAAGAACAGAGGTAAGAGACTGTTATCCATTCTTTGAAATCCAACAAACTCACAACCTGAAATAAGGGCTCAACAATTTTGGCAAAAAAATCTAAACTGCAAATATTTTTTATAAAGGTTTGCAATCGAGGTAGATGTTTCCTTTTTTAGGGTTTCAGTTTTTTTTATTGTCTTGCAAGTTTGCTTGTCCAGAGTCCATTGTTGCAGGACTGTACAGTAACCTTTGTTTAAAAAAGTGTTTTCTTCCATTTGCATGCACGGTTCTGCGTGCTAGCCTCAATTCTCTTTAGTTTATTTTTGGTGTGGTGGCAAAACCCACTCTAAATATTTTACTGCCACCTAAGGGCTTTAGTGACACATTTACTGTCTTATTTTTGTTAAATGTAATGTGATTGCGTTAGGTTAAATTGTGATTATATTGGAAATGCAATTTATTGTCCAGCCCTACCTAAAATGTATGATTGTGGGTCAAAATGACATTTTAAATTGCATTACTATTTTTTATCACAATTTGAGGCGTTCAGGTAGCTTCAGCTGACGCGGGGAAAAAAGATCTGTGACAACTGTGAAAGTCTTCCAATGTGTCCCTAGCTTAGAAGAAAAATGCCTTTTATTTCAAGTTTTTTTTTTCTTTTCAATAAGAAACAGTTTTTCCTTATTTCTGTTTTCAGGATTTGAACCTGAACACTGCGAGTTTCATGCAGCTGTATGCCTGGTACTCCTGGCCAAATGTGGTTCTCTGCTTCTTGGGAGGATTTCTGATTGACAGGGTTTTTGGCATCAGGTATAACAGAGGCCCAAATTGCAGCCATTTTGTTCTTAATTCTCATCTTGAATTCTCAACATGTAGGAAGTACAAAAAAATGTTACCATATTGTTTCAGTTTTAATTTTCCTTCTTGTTTTTACAGGCTTGGAACCATCATATTTTCACTTTTTGTCTGCATTGGACAGGTTGGTTTGTGTTGAGCTCTAGATAAAAAAATGTAGTAGATTTTAAAAAAATTTTTTTTTTTGTGTGTGCAAAGTTTGCTTTTTTTTAAACTTTTTTTTTTTCTCCGTCATTACAGGTAATATTTGCAGCGGGAGCATGGTCCAATCATTTTTGGCTGATGGAAGTCGGGCGTTTTGTATTTGGGTAAAACATTTAACTTCTCAAACTCCTTTTTACTCAGACAGTTTTTTTACATATTTGCCACACTAATTGACAGCATAAACCTTAACTCCCTTAAAATCTGAAGTTCACCTAATCTTAAATTGCCTAAATTATTTCTATTTTAGTTATTTACATCAAATTTATACATGTCTTTATCTTTAACAGAGCTTATGTGTTTTATTTATCTGTTTTCATTGACAGTATTGGGGGAGAGTCGCTAGCTGTGGCCCAGAACACGTATGCAGTGAACTGGTTCAAAGGCAAAGAGCTGAACCTTGTGTTTGGCCTTCAGCTCAGCATGGCTCGATTGGTATGGGCACCAAGAAAGAAGATGTACATCTATAGGGATCATTTATTGTTTTTCACATTTGGTTCAATCAGAAAGTAAGCTGTACTGTATTGGTGAAAAGGTAGCACAAAATCTGGAAGATAAAAGGAAAATGATTCATGGTTCTCGAAAAAAATTCAAAAACGAAATTCTGAAATATTTGCTGCTGTATACAGCCTCAATGAATCAATCATTTCTGACAGCTACTCAGCTGTCTTTTGGAGTTTGATTCTACCGACTGTGCAACACATACCGTTTCCACATTTTTCTATGCAAAACCGCTGAAATGTGGTCAGATTGAATGGAGAGCATCTCTGAACATACAGTTGCTATGAATATTCTTTTGAAGTCTTGATTTTGACAAAAGAAAATTTCTGAGACAAAAAGTTTTAGTCATTCTTTTTTTTGCAGCTTTCAGTCGTTTTTGTTGTGGCTCCCTTCCATCTTTCTGTCGACCATTAAAAAAAAGCGTCCCCACCTTATTTTGCCACTACGATGTTTGATTGTAGCAGCGTTGCATTCAGTCTGATGTAGTCTTAATTTTACACATATAGATTTTTGTTTGTAAGCTGCAAAGTTAAATGATCTTCCCTCCAAACAGAACGTCTCCCAGATTTTTTTGTCTCCCCTGCATTGTTTCTCTCTAACCGCAAATAAGATGACATTCTTTCAACAACTTCTTCCATAAAGGCCAGTTTTTGCTGTGTTTTAATTAGGGGGTTTCAAAGTACCGGTAAATGGGGCTGAATGCATGCCAGTATGTCAGATTTTTCTAAGTGGCAGCCTACAAATGTGTTTTCACTTATCACATGCTGATTAAATGTATTTAAAGTCGTGGTGTAAAGTCATACAGATTAAATGTGTGAATCTCTTGCCAGCTACCGAAGGTGTAAATTTGTAAAAGCTCAGACGTGCTTTCTCTTTCTGTAGGGCAGCACAGTGAACATGAACATCATGGGTTGGGTGTATAGCAAAGTCGCAGTTGCTGTTGGCTCCCCTGGATACACCACACTTGGAATATCACTCATGATTGGTAGGTAATACACTTTATGCATAAACACCCTGCTTTGCTTGAGTAGAAGAAAGAGTTTAAAGTGAGCCTCTGGTTACACATGCTTTATTACACGATGTGCCTGACTTACTGGGCCAATCTATGCAGTTCTCAGGTTACAGCCAAGCAAACGCAGAGAGAAGTAGGAAAGGGAACTAAAAGTGCTTCTTGGCATCTCGGATGTTCATGGGAATGTAAAAAGTGTCAGTTCTCCTAACCTTTCCCCCATGTAGAAGTTCATCTTACTCATTTTAAAATGCTTGGGGTTGTTTTTCACTGTTTGTTTAACTTTAATAGGATAATCTGACCATCAGCCAGTTGTCAGTAAATGCACCAAACCAAACTAAATATTTCATGTTGAATCCTTTTTTTGATTTACTTCTTCTTCTTTCCTTTTAGCTGCTGGAACCTGTGTCTTTTCTCTACTATGTGCCTTGGTGCTGGCATTTTTGGATAAAAGAGCAGAGAGGATCCTCCACAAGGAACAGGGGAAAACTGGTAAAGCTCTGATAATGTTGTTCTGTCTTATCTTTGCTCCTCCTTAACTACAAGCTGTCCCTGACTGCTTCAAGTTTTGGTTTTGTTTTTATCATTCCAGATTAGAACAGAATGCCAGGCTCTGTTTGCTGCTTTACTGAACTGATTAGTATTGATCTATTGTCTATGTTGTGATCTGCTTATTTATTCTTTCCTGAAAAAAAGCCAGTTAGATCCAGGGTTTTGCGTAATTGTGCATTTGAATCAAGTCTTTATGTAGGCTTTCTCTGTTGCAATAAAATTACATTTTGTAACTAATATACATATTGATCTTCTGTTTCAGGCGAGGTTATAAAGCTGACTGATGTGAAAGATTTCTCCCTAGCCCTGTGGCTCATCTTCATCATTTGTGTGTTTTACTATGTTGCCATTTTCCCATTTATTGGACAAGGCCAGTAAGTATTATACATCTTTTCTCTCTAAGATACACAAACACTATATTTTTTCCCCAGCATCAACTATAATAAAGTTTTTCTTATTAGTGCTTCATTAGTTACCTCTGCCAGGGAGCTTATGTTTTAGGATAGTTTTTTTTCTTTTTGTCTTTCTGTCTGTGTACAGAATAACTTCAAAATTAAAGAACAGATTTTGATTAAATTTGTACCAGAGATGCGCCTCATGCCAAGGAACAGTTAATTACATTTTGGTGATGATCGAGATCATAATACAGATACAAGATACTTAAACATTGCGAGATATGAATTTATTGAGGAAATAAGCAGTTCCCTCTTATACCAGAGGGTGGCAGCAGTGACTCTTTACAGGTTCAGCCTTAGACAGTCATGATCCAGATGTGTGAGTTTTAGCTCTAGGTGTACTGTAGGTCACAGAAGGTCTAGTGCTTTTCTAGTTTGACATGATATAATCAAGATATTACATGAATGCCTTTATCCATTCTTGGTAATTATGATGATTTGTCTCATGTTGATTTTTAATGTTGTCTTTTAATTTTGTGTAACACTTTTTAATGTAAACCAACCCAATTCCAGACAAAATGTATAGATATAGTTTGTTCATTTACTCAGTATACTTTCACAAAACTTTATTGTTGGGTATGAGGAATTGCTTTTAACAAAAAAATTCAAAGTCATTTATTAGTGGACTCTACATCCAGAGTTTTTCTCTTTGCATCAGCCAGTCTAATGGTTTCCACCTTGGTTATACATGTTGCTAATATATATTCAAAGCTGTTTTATCTTGCAACCTTTTCAACCCCAAATTAAATTTGAAGGAAAAATGTGAATAATTGCTTTGCCTTAGTTTTACGTTTACAAGATAAAAAATTAGTCTGCACTTTTATTTTACAGAGGTGTAGTATTAATGCCATCATGATGTTGGTCAATAGACAGACTTAACAGCAAAAACAACACTTGATATCTGTTGTCTTTTTTTCTTTCTTTATAAATCAATATTTTTCTATTGTGGTCCATCTATTGTGGTTGACCCACACAAATGGTTGCAGTTTTGACAAAACTTGTTTTTTTTATAAATCTTTTGGCCTTAGAAATCAAAAACGAACTCGGTTACACCACAATGACAGGCATAAGCTGATAATAAGTTTGGCGTAGTTTAGTAGTTATGGTTTAGTTTAATAGTTTGCCCTCAGTTAAAAGGCACAAAAATGAGTTGTCAGCAGCTATGGTTTTCACCGCAGACATTTTATACTTATGCAGCAAATGGCCGTGTAAGTATAAAATGTAAGGCTGTGTAAGAGAGAATGTAATATATGGGAGAAAATTTATTGTCATTGAAAATGTAATTACTTTATTCTAACTTTGTGTTTATATAACTATAAAACATGCAGGAAGGCTTTTATTGCAAGTCTTATCACCTCATCCTTTGTTTTTCAGGGTTTTCTTTATTGAAAAGTTCAACTTCTCTCCAGCTCAAGCCAGAGCCGTTAACAGGTGAATAACATATTTTTCCAAAATAGATATATATTTCATTTAAAGATGTGTGTGTGTGTGTGTGTGTGTGTGTGATCATGTTTTTGTTACCATGTGGGGACTTCCTGGGAATTGCTAAATTTTTTGAACTTGCAGTTACTTGTGGGGACTAATGACATGTCCAATGAGGAAAGGTTCTCTATTTGGGGGGCGGTTAGGTTAAGGTTTACATTGAGTTTAGGTTAGGTCTAGGGTTAGGTGTGTGTTGGAAATGGTCAGAGTTAGGGTGAGGTTCAAGGTTAGGCCATTGAAATAAATGGTAAGAAAGAAAACTAGGCTTATCTCGAATTGTAATTTTCAGTCATACTCTTAATTTAAACCACAATTAATTTTTACTTATCAGAATTGCCATTAAAGTGAAAAGAAAGGGAATAATGGGAAACGGTTTTAATGACAGGCTTGCTGAATAAGTTTTAAATTTTCAGATAAAAATATTTTAGTTGCAGTGACTTTATTCTTGCCTTATTTAAGTGGAAATATTGATAAAAAAAAAATTACTGCACAAGGCAATAATGATGGCAAAACAAAAATGTTATTGCATTATGTTTTATTTTTTTAACGTAATTGCAAGTTTATTTTCAATTCTCAAAGTAACTGTTAACAAAATTCTTTTACAGTATCGTATACATCATCTCAGCACCTGCATCTCCAATTCTCGGCTTTATTGTTGATAAGACTGGGAGGAATGTAGGTTGGGTCTTTGCTGCAGTCATCGCAACACTTGGCGCTCACATGATGCTGGCCTTCACCTTCTGGAACCCATGGATCGCTATGGTAATCTAGAGCCTATTTCTCTTTATCTGTGAACTTAGATGTTTTTTCACACATTAACAGTTTTGGGTAGGCGAATAAACCACCATCAAAATTTAAAAAAAAGTCTTTGAGGGCATTTTATCACATCATTGCAACAGACTGTTACTTTATTAGTTTAACAAATACAGTAAAAAACAACATAAAAGGCCTAAATGAATTAGAATATCTAATATTTTGGTTTTTCTTTCAAGAAATTCAATTTGCATATTTGTTGCAAGTCGTTATTCTAATGTAAAGATTATTTTGATGATGATGACTCACAGGTCATGGGACTATTATAAGACCACTGAAAGGATATTTATCTTCCCTTAATCATTTCTGGAAAATTCTCCTTGTCTTTTCTAATTTTCCACCTCAATCTCAAAGATTTAGGGCTAGAAAAGAAAGACAGATGCAGTCCATGCTCACATTATTTTCTTAAAGTTTCTAACTGGTCAATAACATCTTAAAGATCCCATCTGTGGCGAACCACGTTCTCCCCTTTTTCCAGTAGTTAGACATTTGCAGCATACTTTCAGCACTTCAACTCTTAAGTTTTGGACTGATATGTTGTTCTTAGAACATCCTTGGAGATCTCAGTGGGTCAGCCACAGACATTTGGTCTCTTGGTATAGGTTTTGGGGATCCTTGATGTTTTTCAGCTTAACTTAAAAATACTTTATTGAACCAAAATGTATATTTATTTTTGTTATGAGCAAAGGAGAATATTGTTTAGCCAAAATCTCCCCACATTTCAATGCAAAACAGAAAGTTTCTCTCCTTAGGATGCCAGATAGATTGACTTACACAATGTTCTTCTACAAAAGAGCAACCAATCACACAAATATCACTTTTTAAAGTTGAAAGCTCAGATAATAGTGAAGCATCTCAAAGCTTGTCCACTGCAAAAGAGGATTGTCCAAGTCCATATCAACTTGGAAAGAGCCAACCAGTAGCCATCTTATAGCCAGTTCATGTTGTTAGGGGGATGGAATTCAATATCAGCTTATATATTTTCTTACAAAATTAGGAAGTCTGCACTCACTAAACATCAAACAATAGCAAGTTCAAATATTAACAAGGATATAGCTAAGAAATACTTTGGAATATGGCTTTAAAATAAATCTTTTTGTTCAAAATCAGTAGATAAGTTTACAAGTATTATAATTTTTTTTTTTTTTTCCCAAACATAGTTCCACAGAATTTTGTAGGCAAGTTAGGTTCATTTTGATCCAAAAGTTATTTACGGTAATAAAGCATTCAGTTGGAGGGGAATTTGTGTGGTCAATATCGGCCTTTGGCTAACACGCATAGATTCTTACGGATCATTAACTGTCCATGATCCACAGATATCTATGTCTAATTATCACATGCATCCTATCCCATTAAAATATCCTCTTTCAGAGCTGTGGTCTGTAGTTCCCAAACTGGTTTCCTTTCAGTCTTTGGTACTAAGTTAAAACTGCCTCAGTAGACTCAGACCAGGAGTAAAAGGAAAGTCTAAGTTGAGCTTAAACAATTTTTTTATTTTTTGACTTGTATGGTTATCTGTAAAATCGCTATTAGTATACTATGCCAACAATTTTAGGGCTGAGAAAAAATAATGATGTGTGATAATTTTGGTTTTAAAGTAATAATTCAAGCTATAGAAGCCCCAACTAAGTAGTGTGCATTTACTGTACAGTGCTTAGTTATACATGTTAATATGCAAATATTTCTGTATTAAAAAACATTTTGCGATGTGGAGGTGACACAAAGGTTAGGCCCTTGGCCCATCCCGTCTCCCCTAAGTGGCTTTTTGACTCTCGGCCAATTGACCTTTGCCGCATGTTTTTCCCCTCTCTCTCTTTTAACACCATATCATGTCAGCTGACTTTCAGGTAAAGGCCACCACTTGCTAAGAAAAAATCTAATAAATGTTTTTTATAAGCTATATTCCATCATCATAAACAAAAAACATGTTAAAGATTTCCTGCATAACGAGTCCAAGAGTTGCACTTACTGCATTTATCCTTTTGATGGCATCCTAACTGACTGAGATGCACCTGTGAAAACGTTCTCTGCAGGAAGTCTCCTGGCTTCCTGTAGAAGCCAATTGTTGAAGGTGCAATCACAAAGCTTTAATCAAAGCTCTAGATTTAGATTTCAGTTGTTTTTGTTTGAACATTTAACACTGCACAATTAAATGCTTCATAAACTCCACTAATATGCATCGTTAGCCTGCTGTGCTCTGTCTGAAAAAATTAAGCTACTCTCCAACTATTAATTAAGATACTGATGGAATTTAGCTAAATTCCTTTGTGATTGCTTTATTTTATCTTTTTTATGTAAATTGTCAGTCATTAATCTGATGTAAAAATCATCTCTGGTGTTCCAGTCCCTGCTTGGTGTCTCATACTCCCTACTAGCCTGTGCTTTGTGGCCAATGGTAGCCTTTGTGGTGCCTGAACATCAACTGGGAACAGCCTATGGCTTGTAGGTACCTTTTTTAGTTTAACATTTTCTATTTTTCTTTTGTTGGATTAATAATATGATTTGTATCTTTTAAGTTTTGACAAAATCTCCTCTTTTAATTACCTATCAGCATGCAGTCCATCCAGAACCTAGGACTTGCTGTGATTGCGATTATAGTAGGAGTCATTGTGGATGTAAGAGGATACCTGGTGTTGGAAGTGTTTTTCTGTGCCTGTATTTGCAGTAAGTATTTTTCAATCTGTCTTCTGTTTTTATAGTTGAAATTCCAGTTGGACATTAAACCTTATTTACTCCCTACATGTTTTTTCTTTACTTGTCTTGCAGTTGCTCTGATGGCAGTGGTGGGGCTCTATTTTGTGGATTATCTTAAAGGTAGTTTCAAGCCTAGAGTTTTTGCTTTTTCTCTTGGGTGTTTTCTCTTTGCCTTTTCATTCTCCTTATACACATGGCATTTCCACGGTTTACAGTGCCATTTTTCAGCAAACAGATCTAGACTGAATTCAATTCAGTTTATTTATATAGCGCCAATTCACAACACGTCATCTCAAGGCACTTTACAGTTCACCAGATCATACAGTCAAATTGATTCAAAGTTTTCTATCTAAGGAAAACCAGTTGATTGCATCGACTCATTGACTCAAAGGCAATCCGTCACACTGAGCATGCTTGTAGGGACAGTGGAGAGGAAAAACTCCCTTTTAACAGGAAGAAACCTCCAGCAGAACCAGGCTCAGTGTGAGCGGCCATCTGCCGAGGCAGACTGGGGTTTAAGGAGACAGAAACAGACATAGAGAAAGAAGCAGAGATACAACAGGCAACTGTAAAAGGTGGTTCCATCCAGGAAACCCACAGCCAGGCAGACGAGTTCCGAGCCAGCTCCCATGTCAGAGGATGAAGAGCGCACATCAACAGGAGAGGAGCCTGATAACTAAAAGATCTGCCTCCCATTCTACTTTTAGAAATTCTATGAACCACTAGTAAACCTGCAGATTGAGAGCGAAGTGCTCTGTTAGGAACATAAGGAACAATCAGATCTCTGATATAAGATGGAGCTTGGCCATTTAAGGCTTTATATGTGAGAAGGAGGATTTTAAATTCTATTCTAGATTTAACAGGAAGCCAATGAAGAGAAGCTAGGATAGGAGAGATATGATCTCTCTTTTTGATTTTCATCAGAACTCTGGCTGCAGCATTTTGGATCAGCTGAAAGCTTTTAACTACAGTTTGTGGACTTCCTGATAGTAAAGAATTACAATAGTCCAGCCTTGAAGTAACAAATGCATGGACTAGTTTCTCAGCATCACTGAACAGGATATTTTAATGTTTTTGCAGTATTCCTCAGATGAAAGGAGGAAATTCTAGAAACCTCTTTGATATGGGATTTAAATGACAGGTCCTGATCAAAAACAACACCAAGATTTTTTACTTTATTATCTGAGATCAGTTTAATCCCATCTAAATGAAGTGACTGACTAATCAGCTTTTTTTTCCAAGACTCTAGTCCAAAGAATATAACTTTTTTTTTTTTTTCTGCATTCAGGAGTAAAAAGTTAAGCGTCATCCAGGTTTTTATGTTTTTAAGACATGCCTGTAATCTATGTAATGGGTTAGCTTCATCTGGATTTATAGACAGATATAGCTGATTATCATCAGAATAGCAGTGTAAATTAATCCCATGCTGTCTAATAATTCTACAGATTGGGAGCATATATATATATGATAAAGAGAATTGGTCCTAGCACTGATCCCTGTGGTACTTATTAACGTGAACAAACTGAAATCGATCAGATAGATAAGATTCAACCCAGTCTATTGCTCTTCCTTTCTTACAAAATATTCAAGTCTTTCAAAAAGAATATGATGATCAACTGTTTAAAATGCTGCACTGAGATGTAACAGGACAAGTACAGATACATGTGCATTTTCTGAGGCCATGAGAATATCATTAGCGACTTTCACCGGAGCTGACTAAGAGCAGGTGAGATGGACAATTCAACAGAGCTATGGCTCTGGGTGAGTTTGGCAACTGTATCAAAAAGATTATTTTTATTGTCCTCTATTAATGAGGAGAAATATGCTGCTCTTGCTTTACGAAGGGTCCTCTTATACAGCAGTAAACTATTTTTCCAGACCAGATAGGATTTCTGTAGGCATGTGGAGTGCAATTTTTTTCTCTCCAGTTTCCTAGCATTTTGCTTCAGAGTGCAGCTCTGCATTAAACTAGGGAGCCAGGTTTCTATTTTTTAAGTTTTTCTTTCTCAAAGGGGCTGCATTGTCTAAGGCAGTACGCAGAGAACTAGCAACCCCATCAACAAAATCATTAACCTGTGAAGGCGAATAAACTAAATATTTAATATATCAGCAACACAGAGGAGAGAGAAAGTGAAACAGATTCTTTCAAATGTATAACTTTACTCATTACCTCTCCACATCTCGGCATCTTGCTCTATTTGTCTCCAGGTGGAGGTTTGAACCAGTCAGCTGCAGCCAGAGCTAAACTACAGAAGGAGACCTCTACAAATGCAGAGTGAGTAGCCTTAATCTTCCACCTCTCCCATCCACATAACTACTGTTTAAACTGAAGAACTAACCTATACTGGTTTAGTGACAGATGACCAACCAGCTTCATAAGAGCATTTAGGAAGTTCAGTTAGATCTATTTTATTAGAGTATAATTTAAAAGTCTTGCAATCTCTGTGATTGCTACAACTGATTTACCAATCTTTTCATGACAATTGATTGATTATTCGAAAGTGCAAATTCATACAAAAAAACCCTAATGCATGAGTCAGATAACACCTTTAGGATTATTGAGTGAACAGTAGCATTTTTACAAGCCTCAGAAGTACGTTTTAACGCCCCTTTATAAATGGTGTATTGAACTGGTTGGCTCATTAGACTTTATTGTGCTTTTAGGTGGCTGTTATTGCATACCCGCTAATAGCCATCCTGCATGTTTATTACAAATGTCAATGCTCATGGCCTTATATCTTTTATTTTTTCTAAAACCAGACACAAACAGCTTGTTTCCATAAGGTCCATTAAATTTCCATCCTCAATTTATCACTAATAATGTTATTTGTCAGGTGTTAGTTACCTCCTGCTGGCATTTTGGTGAAGATTTGGGGATGTAAAGGATCTTGTGGCAAACAGGTTTCCTTACACACCTTGTGCTTTTGAAAGCTGATTCATTCGACCCCTTTGGTATGAAGTGAAGTCTTATCATTACTGATGTGTTGAAGATGTTGAGTCATGAGACATTTTGTTGGTCTCTAAAGGAAATACAAATACCTTGTTTTAGTCATTTTTCAATACATCATTAATAGCTATACAATTTTTACAAAAAGAACCCCAAAACTTTTAAACTTTTATTAAAATAATATATTTCATAGGGATTTTAATGTCTAAACCAGTGCTGTGGTTATGTTCAACTTGGATCCTACACAATTATTGTTTTAGAAACTGCAATCATTATGTTTTTTGACAGTGGTTAATACTTTAAAGGAAATGGTATAACAATGTGCCCCTATAATATACTACATGGAGTGGCTCAACACCTGATTGTTCCCCTCTGCCTGAGAAATTCATATATATACACTTTTAGTGTATTGCAGTAATTAGATTACACTTCTACAGCATTTAAAAATGGAAACAACTAGCTGCATACAGCTTGGGTGATAACACACTTGCTAATGGGAGGTGCTTTGTATCCGATTCATTTTTAAAACACTCATTCACAAAAACACCTCAGAAATCGAAATTTGTCATATTTGCAAGCAAGTGAAAAGTTGCCTCCTCCACTGAACACAAGGGAATAAACTAGATTTAAGTAGAAATGCTGCAGTTTCTAAGAAATCCAAACAGGGTTACAACTAAATACATACGTTATAGCCTTTTAAAAACTAATATAATGAAAACATGAACTGCTAAATAATGAGCCCCCTGCACAGCTTGCAAGTGAGCATGAAGTGTAGGACAGAATATAATATTTTCCTTCTAAAACTATGTATATTTCACAAAGAGTTTAAACTTTCACAGAGCTAAAACACTAATATGCTCACCAAAACTAGTGCATATAAAACTTGTCTGCTCTCCTTAATGTGCCCCTAACAGCATGTTTTCATGAGGATGTTTGTCACAGCTTACCATGGAGTAAACTGCTCACCTTCTGCCTCCCCGTCCAACTCCATGCCTACGCTAGCAGCAGTTGTGAGTGTGTATTTGCAGGGAGGGGCGATGCAGAGAGAGCTAAATATTCTCTGTTACCGGAGAGGTGACACCAAGCAGCTCAGCGTGTGAGAAGCAGAATCATTGCGTTTTAAAAGTTTCCTTTTGCTTTTTGCAGCATTTGTATTCTTGTCGATTAATGAGCCAGATTTTAAAATCGGCCAAGTTGAATCTTATTGAAGGACACTGCTCTGTGCATAACCTCAGCGATAGGTAAACTGTCAATCAGATGCAATTCTAAGATGTAATGTCTTATTTTATTGCATCCCTATTCATTTACATATATAGGCATAAGCAAGTAAAAAGCTTAACTCTATTGGTTAGGCTTTTTGCATAGATTGTCTTAATGGTAATGAACCAATAGAGTTAAGCTTTTTACTTGCTTGTGCCTCTTCCTAAGTAACATCTAATTGATTCCCTATCAAGTCATCCCAGTTAGAACAATAATTATTTGGAAAATAATCTTGATTTATGGGCTTAATGCATCATAACTATGCACTTTCAAAGTGGGCATCTGTTACTCGTGGCAAGAATCAAAAGCTATGTTTTATAAATTGTCCTGGGCCTACTTTGTTTTGCAGTAGATTTGGTCAAGCTGCTATTAAGAGGAGGTGGTGGAGGTAAATCCAGCTGTTTAGATGTGAATCTGTTGTTCATTGGCTGCAGCTGCTTTTTGGACAGGGGTGGGATTGCGGTGGGGTCAATCTGCAGACAAGGACAGCTTTCTCAAGGGTTTTGTTTGAGTTTTAGATTTATTTTACAAAATTTTTTATCGTTTTATTTTGTGCATTTTTTGTGCACATACAATTTAGCATCCCTTATTTGGAAGGTGTAAAGATCAGGCTCTTTTTGTTGTTGTTGTTGTTTGTCTCTGACTAAGCTGCTAATTTTGAGGTTTCTTAGATTTTCATACAATACGTGATGCATGCCACTGTTAACCACCATGTATGCTCTAAAAGGTTACCATGACTAATTCAGTTTTCATTCATTGCATGAAAATAATAACCAGCAATTCTGGGTGTATTAATTTATTCCTTAGTACTATCCCCTATTTTTAATTTTTTTTAATCCAATGTGTCTAACCAGAATTTTATTGCATGTCTGACATCAGACTTCCAGAGGCTGACTTTTACCTTCTGATTCATGCTGTGACTGATATTTTCCAGATGATGATGGTGGTGAGCGAACACACATGGTCCTGGGCGTCAGAAAAACAGACTGCACTGTCCACCCCAGAGCTTTCAGTCTACGGCCAATGGGGCGCGACTGCGGTTCTGGCTCTGCCCAGTGATGTCATCTGTGGCTCTTCGAAACCTGAACTGACTGTCTGGAATTGACTATTGCTTTAACCTGTTTTGACATAAGGACACTTAGAAATGACAAATCTTTGTTTGAACATAACTACTCCTCTACTGACATGATTTCTACCTGCTCTTACTCACAAGTAATCTCTTACATGCAGCATGAAGTTTCTAAAGTGCAAATATGCTTCAAGTTTTTATAACTGTCTGGAAGAATGAAGTCTAGAGGGTTTTTAGCACTTTTCTTCTCAGCTCAATTTCAGTATAGGTCAACTTTGTGTGTATTACTGTTTTCAAAGGGACTTGTTTGACTTATTAAGTCAAATTTTCATAATAGTTATTTTTACTTATTTTCTTCATCAAACTAAATCTGATACATCATTATTCTTCAACAGATAATCTCCTATAGAGTATAGGCGGTACTTTTTAAGCTTTATTGCTCAGTTATTTTATTTCCTAAACTTTTAAATGGCTTTTCAATGAACTATAAAGTTCATAAGCGTTAATTTTCTGTTGAATCATCGAATAATGAAAGATAATCCACTTATGAATCCATTTAACTGTAAAGTGGCACTTAGTTTTAGCATTTATAAACATAATCCTGAATATGACATTTTAAAATTATTTAAATCGTTTATTAAAGGTGTAAATGTTTTATAGTTATTTTTATGGTTTATTAAATTCCGGTAATTAACTTTTATCAAAGCACTTTTCAAAATTGTTCCATGCTTCATTTGAACAAAGCCTTCAAGCTGTAACAATTGGAATTCTAGTTATGTAGTTGGAGATTAGCCCCATATGCTTTTTATCTGCATTGCACTAATTATAAGATGATATAAGATTATTACTGTATCGAAACATAAACACATTTCTAAGTTAAAGAAAACGTGTATATAATGACCTAATTATTTGAAGAAGAATAACTAATTATTTCTGTCTCACACATTCACTGCAGTGATACTGTTACCTGTAACAATTGCCCTTTATTTTGACGCACAAAACATTACCTAAATATGTGCTCATTTTATAGGTTTGTTTTGCGTAAATATCAAAATATTTTACAGCTTTTTAGCTGCAGAGTTGCAAAGATATAACAAGCTGATATTTTTTTAAGTATGCACCATGCTTCCTTAACCGACATGGCACCTAAAGCTCTCAAACTGTAATTTTAAAACATGGGTTTTTTAAATATAAGCACCACGTTTCCACACAATAAGTGCATGTATTTTGGTGACCTTTTTTTTTTTTCTTCCAAAATTTGTGTTTTAATTTAGGGAGGTTAGCAGCTGATGGGGCAGTGGGCTCATTTAAACTCTTCTTAACAAGTTTCAAAAAGAAAGCGGGACCAAGTGCTTTATAAAGGTTAAAAACTTATGCCTGGACCAAAAGTAATCACTTGAAATGATCAAGCAAATAAATTTTACAACAAAAATTGTAAAAGCAATACATAAATATAGAAATACACAAATGCAATTATGACAGCATTTAAAATCATAAACTGTTTGAAATTAGCAAAATAAAAATGGTGAACCATAAATAGGTTTTAGATATAATTTTCTTTTAAAAAAGAATGCTTCAATTTTCTTTTAAAATTTAAAGGTCTGTAGGACTAATGCACCTTTCTTTGCTTCTCAGAGTAAAGATTTTGATCAATAAATCACACTTTACTAAATGAGTTTACAATCAAAGTTTTAAAGAAGTAAAAAAAAAAACTAATATGAAAGGAAATGTATAAAGTTCTTAAACCAGTCTTCTAAAACTCCTTAAGGTCCAGTGTCCTGCAACTTTTAGGTGGCCCTTTAAGTCTAAATCAAATGGCTGAACTACCTCGTTAACATACAGTCAAGCTTTGCAGGGTCCTGCTAATTAGCTCACACTGGAGTCAGGTGTGTTGAAGCAGAGACGCATCTAAATGTTGGAGGACATAGGGCTCAATGACAGGTTTATACCACTCCAATAGCATAATTCTACAAGTAAAAGTTGGACTAAAGGATAAAAACTATATATTTCAGAGTAAACATTAGAAATATGACCAATCATGATTCAGAAACTAAATGCTCTTATATGATGCACTTTTTACAGTTGTGAAAATGTTCTTTTTGGAACATATTTGTATTAAACATAGCTGTATAAACTTGATTTGTTTAAATGATTGCACTTATACTGATTATTATATGTTTGAAAGAATGAAAATTGCAAACAACTATGGCCTTATAATAAATTACAAGTATTTTTTGAAACAGCTGAATTAATTTCTTATTGCTGCAGCATCTCTGTCTGCTATCATGCATTTCCTGCTTCTTTTCCTTTGCTCAGTTTTCAGTGTGATGCTTATATCAATGTGGCTGAAAGGAAGTTTATTTTGCCCACATTATTATTCCTGCAGGACTAAAATGCAACCCAGTATGGTGGCGCACGGTGAGCATGCTAGACTGGCACCTATGTCTGCTTTTGGCTTGCGTAACAGGTACCTCTCCAGGCTGGGAGCACAGGTATTATCACGTTAAGTCAAAAATCTATCAGAAATCTTAGAATTCTGTTTATATTTGTGTGTGTGTGTTTTTTTTGTTTTTTTTTTGCTTTTTTCGAAGCAGTTTCACTACAATACTAATCCTGCTTGGCCTTTGGTGTCTTTGTCCTGCTTTATATCTTTTGTCCTCTCAGCTCCCAGATCACTGCTCTACCCATCTGTCATCACTTGCCCACAGGAGTGTCCTGAAATGACACCCATCACTCATCTGTCTGCTCCTGCAGGACTATAATGCTAATATTGTGGTGCAAGACAAGTATGCACTGAAATAGAAAAATGCTTTAAAAGTGTCTTGTTTTTGCACTTTTACCTATGAAGTTTTCATACCTACGTGACTGTTTACAGATTAATCTTTTTGGTGTTTTGTTTTTTTCATTTTATTTTGTTGATTGTTAATAGGGAGAATGTCCATTGCATGCATTATTGGTTACTGGATATTCTCTACACTTGAGGTGCCTTTTTCTGAGTCAAAACCAAAGTTGTTTTTTTGCACTAAGTATTGATCTCAGGGTTATCACTAAATATTTTGTCGGTTTTAGAGATACAGCCTTTGCGAACAGCAGAGGGCATCAATTTATTCATACTAACCACTGAGCACAAAATTGCTTTTTTTTAAGTGAGCATTCAATATAAAAGTTACATTGTTTTTTCTAAGCTATTGCATTTTACTTTGATTAAGGGAGATTTCAAGAAATATCTTAAGCGTTGTGAAGGGTTTTTTCTTTACCTGTTTACTATGTCATTTTTTTAATGTTTAAAATTAAACAAATTTCAAGCCATGGAGGTTATTTTGTAAAGTTTTTACTTTAACTAACTTATAAGATTCTCTATCCATTTTTTTTATATCAAAATCTACTGAATACTCCAGCACATCTGTGTCGGCAGCATCTGGTGGTGTTCACTTTATGCCAATAACACAATGAGCAGGATATTCTTAAAGCTACAGTGTGTAATAGGAATATACAGTCAGAAATGTAATATA